AAAAAAAAAAAAAAAAAGGAGTTGTTCAAACCTGGGACAAATTACCTGAAGTCTCAGGGCCTCAACTTTCTCATCTGTATAATGGGAGCAATTATAGTACCAAACTCATGGGGTTGTTGAACAGTTTAAATAAGATAAAATAAGTGGGGGTGGTGCCTGTGGCTCAAAGGAGTAGGGTGCTGGCCCCATATGCTGAAGGTGGTGGGTTCAAACCCAGCCCAGCCAAAAAATGCAAACAAAACAAAACAAAACAAAAAACCAACAACAACAAAAAGATAAAGTAAGTGAAGTACTTGGCACAAACACTCAAAAAATGTTGGCTGTTATTTAAATAATGACACCAGGGAAGAGAACCTCAATTTGAGTGCCTATCATGTTTCCTGCTTAATCCTCATGCCAGCTCACTGAAGAGATAATATTCCCATTTTAAGGATGAGCAAACTGGCTGGGCGCCTATAGCTCAACCGGCTAAGGCGCCAGCCACGTACACCTAAGGTGGTGGGTTCGAATCCCCAGCCCAGACCCTCACTTGGGAGCTGAGGCAAGAGAATCACTTAAGCCCAAGAGTTTGAGATTGGTGTGATCTGTGACACCACAGAACTCTACTGAGGGTGACATAATGAAACACTGTCTCAAATAAATAAATAAATAAGTAAATAACTTCACCTAGATGTCCAGACAATGCCCCATCTATGTATTCTTCTTTATTCTGCAAGCTGCATGTTCATCTAACCATCTACAGATACCAGGTAGTCCTTTTACTCCATTCCCCCACTTAAGTTTCACCATCATTGGCTTTCCTGTTAATCCACTGTTAATCCCACTTGGGATTGAAGGGTAAACTAACTACCAGCAAATGCTGCAGGCTACTCACCCCCAGCCAAGCTCCCTCATGACTGCAGGAGCTACCTCCCTGTTTTGTTTTAGAGATGAGAAAATTGAGATCTAAAGGAGTAAAGGGGGCGGCGCCTGTGGCTCAAAAGGGTAGGGCTCTGGTCCCATATGCCAGAGGTTGTGGGCTCAAACCCAGCCCTAGCCAAAAATGAAAACAAAAAAAACAAAAAAAAAGAAGGGCTGGGTGGCACCTGTGGCTCAGTGAGTAGGACACCAGCCCCATATACCGAGGGTGGTGGTGTCAAACCCAGCCCCAGCCAAACTGCAACAAAAAATAGCCAGGCATTGTGGCGGGCGCCTGTAGTCCTAGCTACTCGGGAGGCTGAGGCAAAAGAATCGCCTAAGCCCAGGACTTGGAGGTTGCTGTGAGCTATATGATGCTATGGCACTCTACCGAGGGCAATAATGTGAGACTCTGTCTCTAAAAAAAAAAAAGAAGAAGAAGAAGAAGAAGAAGACGACAAAGAAGTAAAGGGCCTAGACCCTCTCCTGAGAAACTGTGGGTTGGGGCTGTGCTCCCCCACCATTGCAGTTGTCCTTTCTAGCCCAAACTGGCAGTACTTCTACAACACTTTAGAACTTCTCTAAATTCTTCTAGGGAAGCTCAATCCCTTTTATGAAGCCCCCCGACTCCAAAATCATACTTTTCTCTGCACAGCTCTGCCACAATTAGCTTTCTCTTGCAGTGATTTTCTGTTCAACTCCTTGCAGACCTCATGTCTGTTCACTGACTTAGGCCACGTACTAAGAGGCAGCCTGCCTGGGGGTTACACACATGGACTCTGCAGAAAGAGT